TCATAGTGTGTGTTTGCTTTTGTGTGTGGATCTATTGGCATATAATGTTGCAATCCATCATCCTGTACAGAACACACACACACACACACACACACACACACACTATACTCATGTCAAAGGCAGGACAGGGCATAGAGTATGGAGCTATATAGTCTGCTTGGAGGGGAAAGCTGCATCCTTCCTTCCTTTCAAAATGCTCAAGTGCCTGTCAAAACGGCAATAAATATTCATGAAAGTTGTAACATTTGGCAGAGCGAACTCTCACAGACACACTCACACGCGCAGGCTGTCTGACATTTGGGCGTGTTTGCAGACGGACATGTGTCTGTTTGCATGGAAAGACATGAAAATCAATAGGTCGTAATTAACTGTTTGTGCTGGCGCTCTTCTCAGATGTGCATACTTAATTGGCACCGTGCTCGTTTGATTGGTGCCGGTACCGAAACTAGGTCAGTATAGAACGACTGACTGTTAAAATCTTCCGGCTTGTTTCCCAGACAGAGATTAAGTCTAGTCCAAAAGGATTTTCAACAGAGAATCACAATCCACAGTACAATTTACTCCATGACAAACCTTCCCTGAAAAACTGCCCAGAGGAGTCATGACCATTCCTCGTCCTGTTGAAAGTGAAAAAAAAAAAAAAAAGAAGAAGCAGAAACTCACACCTCTCCCTTGTGAAATATTGTAAATATTAATTCAGTCATTTTATTTGTTGGCAAACAACTTTCACTGTTACAACAAATATTAGTTATGAGTTCATTCAGTTTAGAATGCATATGAAAAGAATAAATAATAATTTCATTGATATTGTAATAATAATAATATTGATGATAATAACAATAAAAAAGGTCTCAGTGCCGATCCGATTCTTTTCCCGACGCTCTCTAGGATCCTACATTTCTGATCTGTTGAAAAACAAAAAATAAAAAAACAAGATAGGAATAAATATGCAGTCAATTTTCTCAGGGTGGGTTAACAAGGGATAGATGTGCAAGCTACAGGGAGTCTCAGTTTGAGAACAAGTAAACAGTAGTTTCAGAGTTTCCAGTTTCCTTTACAAGGTTGTTTCCATCTTCCAAACCACTCCATTAAAGTCCTATCCTTCTAGTCCGCTCTTTTACATGGTTATTTTATGTTTAGACATGCTCCACACATGATTCGTAATCATGATTCCCCCAGTTTACACTTTTATTGGACCTGTTCCAATTCACTTTCTTTCTCTTCTTGATTAAGCTCTTAAAAACACAACTCGATATGTGAAATCGTCACAATAACAGACCATCTTTTAGCCTGAGAACAATTTTAGCTGTGTCAACACGTGTGACCGGAATTTCAATAAGCTGGAATTCTTCAACCTGCATCCAAAGTACGATTTCCGCTCTTACACATAAAAAAATGGCGTGTTGAAGGGTAAACGTTCTAGAACTCATGACATGCCAACATTCCAGCATCCTTGGGATCCCATCTGCAATAGCGGTCAATCACACAACAGTCATTTCCCCAGAGTCTCTTGGTTATCATCGACACAGTGAGAATTAGAATGACAAAGTGTTGCCACGGTCATCCTTCCAAACGAGAGTGTGTATGTAGATAGGTGTGTTTGTGCTGTGCGTTATCAGGGATAGTATTTTGGAGGACCAGCACAGCATTGCGGGATTGGTCTAGTCTACAAAAACACATACAAGGGGCAAAATATGTCAAAAAACATGAAACGCATACGATCATATGCAATATCGGGAATCTGTACATTTTACATGGAAAACAGTTCCATTTCTTTGTAATTAGTGAAGATTACCTTTCCCATAACTGAGATTATTACTGAAAAATAAACGTAAGAAAACAAGATACGTCCTCAGTCTTCAAGAATAGATGCGCCTTTTGTGATTTCACGCTCAGAATCGGTGCTAAACGAGAAGGAATGTGTGCAGCAGAGAATCATAGAGAAGTCTTCTAGAGAGTTGTGGGTAATGCAGTTCAGTACGACAGAAGAGTTCAAAGTCTCATTATCATACAAGGTCATCTAAAATGGCAGCTAGTTTTCCGCAGTCTGTTCCAAAATCCGTGGTGAGTTTTGAGGAGAATCAGACAGCCATCGGATGAAGGAGATCTATGCAAATGATCCAGGGAGCAAAAGTTTGTCCACGTCTCCGAATTGACGATCCGCAAGGGTTTTACTCAGCAGATCGGCTTCCTAGGAAATTGAGGAGAAAGAAGTCCACAAGACCTGCCTACACGTGGTAGTCCTTGTTCTAGCATAGGAATGGGTTACTAGTTTCTGGTTCTAACTGGGGCAGGATTTTGGTGACAGGATACTCGCATGTACTGGAATCGGGGGGCTATCTGGAATCAGTCTCTCTATCAGTGCAGTAGGTAGTGTATCCCATGCCTTGTGCATTGTGTCACACTCACACACACATACACACACACACACACACGTACGCTGTGTGTGTGCGTCGGTGTCTATAGGCTGGTGACCAGCTGTGAGGGGTCTGGTGGCTGTTCTTCAGGCGACGAGTCTTCTTTCTCAGGTGGAGCGATGAACCCGTCACTGCCTCCGCGTCCCATCTGGTAATAGCTCTCTAGTTCCTGTATGTGGTTCCTGGAGCCCAGGTTTGGCATGCTTTTGTAGTATACATCGTCTGCCTCCATTACGACCCCTTTGCCATTGGCCAGGTGCAGTTCGCTGCCCTCTTCCTCCTCGCTGTCGTCATCCTCATCGTCTTCGTCGTCGTGCAGACCGTTGATGAGGTCGTCAGTGCCATGCGGGAGGTCAGTGAGCGTGGGCATGCTGGTATAGAGCGAGTCTCTGAGGGGGGAGTGTGTGTGCGCGCGGGGAGTGTGTGTGTGCGAGGAGTGTGTGTGCGTGTCGTTGGGGAGCAGCGGGAAGAAGCTCTCGCTGTTCTCCTGCGGCAGGCGCCTGTGAGCTGAAAACGTGTGCAAGGGGGTATGGTTTTCCAGAGGGGGTGGCCTCGGTGGGAGGAGCGGCGCTTGTGACTCCTCCCTAATGAGCTCCAGGCTTAAACCGCCCCCGTCGTCATGTCGGTGAAATGCTCCAGGGTTGTCGAGCACCATGACGTCGTCTTTGGCGATAGACGATGACCCCGCGACCCCTCCGTTGGCCAGGTGGTTGTTGAGTTTATTGGTCAAGGTGCCCTGGTGGGCTTTTCCCTGTCGCTCCTGGGTGTTGAGGTACGACGGAGCGTAAGTTGCCGTCAGCTCTTTCAGGATCTTCTTCTCAAGCGTAGTTGGAGGCTCGCTGCCGCGAGAACTATAGGTAAGGTAATCGCCTGCTGCCACACCATAGCTGTTGCCGTGATTACCGTTAAGCGGCAGCGTATCCATTACGCTGGAGTCCCGCGCGTTGTTGAGAATGCCTTCTGAAACAGGAAATGAATACAGAACCTCGTTCACAAAATTTTGGTACACACACACACACACACACACAAAAAAAATCGGTAACACTTTAGTATAGGGACCAATTCTCACTATTAACTAGTTGCTTATTAGCATGCCTATTATTAACATATTGGCTGTTTATTAGTACTTATTAAGTACATATTCTACATGACTATATTCTACAGTCCTAATCCTACTCAATACCTAAACTTAACAACTACCTTACTAACTATCAATAAGCAACAAATTAGGTATTTATTGAGGCTAAAGTCATAGTTAAAGGGTTAGTTCACCCAAAAATGAAAATTCTGTTATTAATTACTCACCCTCATGTCGTTTCAAACCCGTAAGACCTTCGTTAATCTTCGGAACACAAATTAAGATATTTTTGATGGAATCTGAGAGCTGTCTGACCCTCCATAGACAGCAACGCTACTGAAATGTTCCCAAGTCCAGAATCGTAGCTTCGTATAATTGTGGATGAACCACTGATGTCACATGGATTATTTTACAGATCTCTTTGCTACGTTTCTGGACTTGGGAACATTTCAGTAGCATTGCTGTCTACGGGAGGGTCAGACAGCTCTCAGATTCCATCAAAAATATCTTAATTTGTGTTCCGAAGATGAACGGAGGTCATACGGGTTTGAAACGACATGAGGGTGTGTAATTAATGACAGAATTTTCATTTTTGGGTGAACTATCCCTTTAATGGTTTGTTAATAGCAAGAATTGGAACTTAAAATAAAGTGTGACCAAAAAATCTTATATATACAGTATTTATGATTGATGGTAATATGAATCGGTTCATGTATGCTTCATGAAAGATGATATCAAATAGGATATTAACTTTGATCAAATAAACATGAAAATAGGAGGGATCCGGATTTAACAGGGGAGGGAGAAGAGGAGGGAACAGGAGGGATGAGGAAGAGGAGAAGATTAAAGAAGAGAGAAGCAGAGGAGAATATATTATAAACGTGGAGCTGTTGTGAAAGTAAATGAATCATACTTGAATCTCTGTAGGAGGCTGCAGACCCGCATGAAAGAAGAGAGAGAGAGAGAAAGAATGATTACTTACATAAATGCTTATGGAACATGTCCACAGAGAGAGAGAAAGAAGTATTATATTCAGCTCAGACTGTGACAGGCATTAGTGACTGAATGCTAACCTGCTGAGTTTCGGACAGATGCTAGGCTGAAATGTTCTTATACCACCAAATTATTAAACAGAACAGATGGACATAGAAACAACATAAACAAGCTCATTAAACAGAAACAGGAAGTATGTACAGTATGTAGGATATTAATGCTAACTCTGGATCGTCTTCTGTGTATGAGTACCATTAGAATATTAAAGCATTTTATATTTTCCAATAGTCTTTCAGATTTGAATTTAAGGAAGCTGAATTAAAATAGAATGGATATCAAAGAAATTTACCGCTGTGAAGTTTTTTTTCTTTTAATACATTTTTCCAACATGAATGACCTATTATGATGTACTCTAATATACTCAACATATGGAGTATTTCAAGAAACATGAGATAATGTAATAATTAATGTTTAAAATATACATATATAATCACTATATGAAATAAACCAACTTTTTTAGTATTTTAGTATTATTCTAGAAAATGTAGTATTTCACACACCATGGTAAACGAACACTTTGTATCACTTCTTTTTCTGGTAAATCTGTGTTGGATACAATTCAGAATATTATTATTTGTGTCCCTTTAACTTAATTAAGCAGAATTTAAAATGAATTAAACTGGAAGTTGAATTGGAAATGTGCTAATTTGCAATTCAAAGAAATAGGATACACAATAGAACAATTTTGAATAGAACAGTCCAACAATATATAATCATTATCAATAAAATAATTTTTAAATAAACATTACATTTGATAAATTAGTCCTATTTATTGACCGATATGTAGAATACAAAAAGAGATTTTTTTTAATAGAGATTTTAATCAAGAGATTTTTTTTGTCATTTTCATGTTCTTATATAGTAAAATTACCATCACCACCACCACCATATTGTTTTCTGACAGCTTTATAAATAAATAATGAATAAATCAAAATTTGGGGCAAATTAGAGGATTATAGCTAATTAAGGAATTTTTCAAAATAAACGTATTAAATCTTTTAAAGTTATTTTATGAAATTCATTCAAATTAAATGTAAATTAAATACATTTTTATAGGTGG